TTGTTTGAGTCTGGGGCCGGGGTTGGAGAGTTGGTCGCCTTCATCCCCAGCGGGGGCAGACAGGGACAAGGGGTGGGCAAAGGCAGCCTCTAGGAGGGGATTGGTTGCCTTCGCGGATGTGGTGGAGGGAGGGGAGGGGATCTGTTTTATGTTGGGGCCGAGGGATTTTCCTCGGTGAAGGCAGCATGAGACAGGGTACAGTGGGTATGGATTGGTTTGAGCTGTGACCAATGGAAGCGTATCCTTTTCACGATCTAATAAACTCGACGCGTCAAAAAAAGATCTGATAATTTCAATACAGTTCAATGCTTCAAAACCAGCCACCTGCTGCTCTACAATCTTGGCAGCACCTGGTCTTCTTCTTTATTTGGGATATAGGAATTCTGGGATCGTCGAGCCTAGACTGATAACTGCTGAAGTTGCTTTGTTCTGTGCTCCTGGATTGCCGATGCCAGAACAACGCTGGCCGGAGCTGGGGCATAGCCCTGTAACCTGTAATTGGCAGGGGCGGGAGACCTTGTAGAGAGAGCTGGGGTTCGCTGAGGGAGGAAAGCAAGCCAATGGTGAACGAGGAGGGGCTACCTTGACAACCTATGGGGTGGGGTTAGTCTGGGTAGTGAGGAGAGATCAGCTATGGCAGTGGGGGGATAGGTTTGTCTTGTTCTAGAGTTGCAATATCCTGGTAAGGGAGGGCTTGGAGTTCTTCAGGATTAGGAGTCCAGTATGGCTGACTCAGCATGTGTAGCTACATCTTTTGTCATCACTGGCATCATTAGTATCATCAGCATTAGAATTTTGTATTCTCAGGTTTTTCTCAGCCGAAGCCGGATAATGGCTCCGGTGTTACAAACTGATGTATGTTCATATGGGACGCTGGGCCCGGTTCCCAGCACGTGCTGCCCCCCACAAAAAAACTGGAGTTTTTTTTTTAAAAAAAAAAAAAAAAAAAAAAAAAAAAAAAAAAAAAAACTCTTCTTCCTTCCCTCCCTTTCCCTCGTCTTTTTCATTACCTTTCCCTACATGTCCCCTCCCTTTCATTATATTCACGTCTTTCTGTGTTTAAGTCCCAAGCCCGGTCCCAGAGTCTCAAGCCCAGCATACCACGTACCATAGCCAAACCAGTAGGTCCATGTAGGAATGGTAGGCCCTACTCAAAAAATATGATAGCCGCCGACGGGTACTAGAGGCCCATCCGTACAAGTCAGTCGATAGGCCCTAAGGCTAGGAAGTCGAATGGGCAGTACAGTCCAAAAATAGCAGCTAAGTCCTGGGGAAGTCCAATACCTACTGGAAAAGTCAAATGGCGACTGCAGTCAACAGGCAAGGACCCACTACTTGTCCAAAGTCAAAATTTGGGAGCTACAGCGAGACACAAAAGTCCAGCAGCTGTAGCCATGTGGCATCAACACAATTTTCATTTGAGTCTGTTGCAGAAGCACTCCTTCGTACTACTTGTGTGACCAAATGTCGAGTGAGACTGGGGGAGGACGTGGGTAGGGTAGCCAACAACACAGGGCATTAGAAGTCACCTTCACTGGTCTAGATTGCATGATGTTGAATCATTTGATTGGTCTTATATCGTCCCTTCTTAGGTTGAGGTGTTTCATGCACCTGGCCAACACCTTATCTATCCAATTGATTATTGAATGAAGCATTCAGTTAGTAGATTTCACCATCAAAGAATAAAGGTTTCGGCTGTAAGATCTACCTTTACTACCTGCAAAACACCAAATCCAGTTAATTGGATCTAGTGTCAGATGGGAAATAAGCGTTGCAGGTCTGAATGCTAACAATGTATTCTTTCTTTCCAAAACCCAAATTCTAAAAATTTGATTGAAGAAGATTCGCTGCCTCTTCAACTGAGGACAGGAGGGCAGGACAAGAGAAGAGGCAATATGGGAAAAAGAAGGTAGCCCAGCAAGGAGAAGATCTCCACTGCAGAGGGCACGGCTTTAGCAGTACTCACACACACTCTGGCAGCTTCTGATACCAGCACTGAGGTTTGAGGAGTTCATAAGATTGTAGACGAACACAGATAAAGAGCCGCCAGATTCCAGTGGCATAAGGGATAGTAGGGGAATGGGAGGCAGGCTTGCCTACTGGAACTGGATGTCAGGCAAGGTTGATAGCACCAGGCCCTGAGACTGAGACAACAAGGGGTTGTTAGCTGGCTGAAGGGAGTGAAGCAGAACAGTCAAACTGTCTTCAATCCCCTTAGTAGCAGCAATGGGAACTGAGCACACTATCACCAACTTCAGACTGCTAGTGGGCAAGCAAGTCGGGCTGCTGGCTACCTCTTACTGCTAAATCTCTAGCCTTCGTAGGAAGTCCCTGCAGCAAAATGTCAACACAAATATATCTCTGTTGAAACAAGCAAATGCAACAAAAAAAGTCAATTTGATGGATGAATGGGGTAGAGAACAGTACTTACAATCGATGTCCAAGTCTCCTAATATTAAGTCAAGAGATTGGGGTAGAGAACAGTACTTAGAATCGATGTCCAAGCCCCCTAATATTAAGTCAGGAGATCTGTGTATACTACCATTTGCCCTAGGCTGTATAGTACCATTTACCCTAGGCTGTCAACTCAGGCTACTGTGTAGCTCTCCCCGCCTAAATCCTTTCTTTATAGGTGAGCCCAGTAGCTTGCAGTCATCACAACTGCTTGTTTAGTCACACAAACAATCATAATGTTCAGGGACGCTGGATCCGCTTTCCAGCAGGTGCTGCTCTCCACCAATAGATGGAGCCCCCCCGGCAGTGCTAGAGGTGTCTGCTCTTACCAGCATCTCTAGCATCCGCCCGGGCTGTTTCAAGGGGAGGGGGGGGGGGGGGGGGGGAAATGATTATCTTTCACTCATTTTCTCTTTTCTTGCTGGTTTGGGACAGCCCTATTATCTTGTGCCAGATTGAAAAGCGTCAAGAGAATATCCCCATTTGTGAATTTATCAAGGATGTTGCCAATCATTTTTTTTTAATTATTTTTTATTTTTTTTTAAAAGAAACACACCCCCACCAGTGTTAGGGTCTCGCCGTACGGCACAGGAAACGAAAACGAAACGAGTGCATCTGCCCGCGAAAGGTGGCAAAATACACTCGTTACTATTTATAGGAAACCGATGAACCTGGCCATTTTCTGCAGGAAGATGCACTCGTTTCGTTTTTCGTTTGGTGTCCCATGCGGCGACGCCCTTAGTGCTGCTGATAAGAGCAGACACCACTAACACCTGGGGAGAGGCTCAATCTATTGGTGGGGAGCATCACCTGCTGGAAAACGGGTCCAGCATCCCATATACAGAAAATGAGAATGTCTGAGAACAGTGAGAACAGTGACCATGAGGTTTGCCAGCATTGATTGCCCTGCAACCCAGGGGATTGACTGAGCAGGCCTAAATAGTGTCCGGCGGTGTAGTGTTTTGTGAGTTTTGAGAGCTTCCATTGCCTTCTGTACCTCTTCATGCTCAAAAGAAAGGCGCCCGATAAAACAGTTAAGGGCTGGTGCTATTTAGCGTTGATTCTACTCACTCCGAATCATGCCAAGTGGCACAGATTGCTCAGGATACTCAAGACTGCCAGCATTGACTACCCCTGAACAGGTAAAAAAGATTGGGACTAGCAGCAGCCCCGTGGGCAACAGGGTCGCTAGACTAGAGTAAAGAAAGGTTATAACCCGAAACTGAACTCAGTAAAGTTTGTATCATTGGGAAGCTGGACCCGGTTCCCAGCAGGTGCCGATCCCCACCAATAGATGGAGCAGCCCAACAGCCGAAGCCTCAATCCCAGTGGCTCTCTTACCGCTGCTGGAATACAGGCCTCACAGGAGGGCAGAAAAAAAAAAAAAAAAACATCCTCACAAACCCTAAAGCTAGGTTGTATACATTCACCAGATCCTGAAGTATGCACTGATACCACGCTGGGCTGGGGGCGCAGCCAGGACGGTGGGGGTATCGCCGAGCATACATTTGGCACATATACCAGTCCCACCGTTCAGATGGAGACGAAATATACACCGCCAAAGACCAAAAATGTGGCAGTGTATATTTCCAGGTTTGTGGAGAAATAGAACAACTGACATCCAAAAAAAAAGAAAAAAGAAAAAAACAGAACTGACATCTGTCGTGCAATGACATGCATCATTCAACAGCTTCCAGGGCCTCCTCTCTCCCTATGTGACGAACTACTTTCTGAAAAGCACGACTTCCTGCACGACTGTAATTTGGGGGTTGAATGGGAGGGGCCCACCCAATTCCACAAGTGCCCCCATCTTTGTGAGAAAGATTGGTCCCATGGCGGTTGGTAGTTAGAGTACGCCTTAGTGAGCGCGGAAATAATTGTTGTCATAGCTTCGTTCTTGTTCTGCTGAAAGTGGGGAAGGGAACTTTGGCGCGATCATCGCGCGGGAAAAATCTTTTTGAATTTTGAAATACGGGGAAATACGGGAATTAGGACTTCAATTGGGCTAAGAATTAAGGCATCGTAATTTTGTCATAGATTTTTGCTGTAACTGCACGATGCTCCTTACTCGCGCGCACTTTGCTGCGTCCTATCCTGCGCTCTGCTCCCTCGGCACCTGAACTCTTTTTTTTTTTTTTTTTTTTTTTTAAGATGATGATGATTAGTATATATAAAAATATAGAAAACTATGCTCCGCACCTTAACTCTAATCGCAACTGTAATCTCTTCTTGCTCCTTCTTGGCAAGTGCTAGTGTAACTGTAATCTTCTCCCTCTTGATTTCTTTCTGCTGTAAAACATTCGCCTCTTTTCTGTCCATCTCATTGGCCGAGAAGATGCATGACTAGACCGATGAGCGGAGAGTGGCTACGTCCCCCGCGCCGCGGCCCAGTCATGCAGCTGTAGGCACTTCCTTCTTCTCTCTTCCTCCTACTTCAGCGTAATCCGGAATTACCTCGCATGAATATTGAGTGCTATAAATTCTGCAAGCGCTACTAATTCGCTCTTTAATCTACACTTCGGAGTTAGCGTGGTCGAGAGGATCGACTAACAAACAGAGACAAGATGGTGAGTAGGGAGTTGGGTAATCCGACGGGCTGGTGCTGGGTATGCGGGGTTTACGTGTGGCCGCGAAGGACTGTGGCACCCGTGCGAACCTGGCTTGCATGCTCGGACGAAGAGGGGTAACAACTTTGGGTTGTTGGTAGGTGCGAGGCGACAGACTGCCCACATCGAAAAAATGTTGAGATAGAGAAAGAACGCAGTGTGTTAAAGTGGTGTTGTCTCTTCGCATCCTCTACATAATTTTGATTTTGGTTTTGGCTACCGTCGTTTGCGGCAATCTCGGATTTTCTTTTCCTCGATTGATGTGTGAATTATCTCTTTCTCCCCAGTCTCTTTCTTTTCGATACAGTATGTATGACGGTTGCAAATTGTTGAGTCAGGGGATTATGGTATGTATGGTTTGGGCGTTTTGCTGATGTATGGGAAATTGCTCCTTCTCCTTTCCTTTTTCACACCCATATTTTTGTGTATGTTGCATTGATCGGCCGCCTATTTTGCATTAAGTCAGTAGATGTCGTCTTCCTGTATGGACTGGAAATATAATAGATGCTTCTATAACAAGTAGTCTTACAGCCCGATCGGAGACAGATCCTGTGCACGCACGTATACGAATGACCATGAAAAGGGAGTCATCACGTACACGCGTGTCTACATGATTTGTCTCCAACCTGATCACACCTTGCACGCACTAATGTATGAATTGAATCTTTCTCATGAGATATGGACATCGGCATTCCGTTTTGGATCACTGACCGCAACTGCGTGGGGGATCGCGAGTACCGAAGGTACAAGGAAAACGAGCACCTCTCTCGTTGATCGAAACTAAGACTTCCGGTATTTCCCTTCCAAACTGAAAACAATCGGTTGTGCGCATTGGACTTTCAGCAGGCTATTGGACAAAATCCTCGAATCCCAGATTACCCCGACGCACGTAACCACCATTATTACGTGGAGCCTGGATTCGTCGCCATCGAAACCTAGGTTACGAGATGTCCGATCGGAGACGTTTCTCGGAGACGTCTCCATCGGACGTCCGATGAGGGAGTTGTCTGGAATCCCGGACAGCTCATTTTTTCCAAAATAAATAGCGAAAAAAAAAAATGGGGAGGGGCTGCGCTACATGAGGTAACCCCATAAAAAAAATTTCAGCTCATTTGGAGCGACAAAAAATAAAATGCAAAACATGGGGACAAGGGGTTTTGGGGGGAAAGGTTGAGGTGCGTGATTGAAATTGACCCCACCCGTTTCGGGGAAATTGATATAGAAATCTTTGGCGATTTTTATCTTTTTTTCTCTGGGCTTATGACCCATAAATTTTGTGGCATGTGCCTTATGTGAGGGAGAACCCACAACAAAAAAATTCAAAAAAAAAACATTTTTTTTTTTTTTTTTTTTTTTAGAGGGTCGGACATACTGTCGCGGGAGGACGTCTCCCCAGTTGTCTGACCGGACAAGTCGGACATCCAAAGGGGCCCCGGACGTCCGCCCTGGCAAGCTAGATCGAAACTAATTTTTCCCCCTTATATCTCCTTCTTTCCCACCGTAATCTAACGGTCATCCCCTAGAATGCGATAGCCCCCTACTGGCCACAAAAACCATGCTCTTAGTGCCAGCAATATTACGCTTATTGGGCCGCGGGATTCGTCCGACGAACTTGTTCCGAAGTTGAGCAGAGAGAACGCAGTCTCCGACTAAGACCGTCCACGTCAGACTATAAAGCCTGCGAAACCCACAGACGAGAGGTGGTGGAACAAAGAGACACACATTGCGTTTCTTTCGTACACAGAATACGAGTCTGCTCCAGGCGACGAGGGCAGCGAAACTAGCCGCCAAGCTCTGAGAATCGCAGATCATAAAACCTGATCCTTCATTGAACCACTTACGCTTCTGTCATTGGAACTTGACACCGAAGATACCAGTTCCGACATGAGACTCCACCCCACTTTCCTAAAATCCTTGACACACCCCCTTTTCCGCACTTCCGGGCCCACTACCACTCCGAAACAGGAAGTCGCGTTGGGCGTGAGGTTGGTATCGGAGCCGACATGTGGCAAGACCAAGGACTAACAAGTGATCCGGCCCCATAGCTCGACCGATCTAGCGAGCCCCAGGCGAGGACGATCTAGACAAAAAAATGCGCCAGTGCGCAATCTTGTAGTTACCCGAAGCCGACAGGTGGCCAACATGAATGTTAATCCCGCCCCTAATGCTACCCCGGCACTAGGAGGGCCGAATCAACTCGGGCCCGTACCTCTGCAGCCTGCGCGAGTTCGTGCACCGGCTGCCCCGCCTAATATGAATCTTTTCGACCTTACGCATCACCTGGCGAGAGCGTGGCTTGCCACACTTCGAGCACAACATCACGACAATGATGAAACTAGGATCAGCATCCCCGATCATCTAGCAGGAGATGCGCACCATTGGTTCAATACTTATGTGTGGATCGATCTCCCGTCCTTCGAAAGGGATTTTTTGCATAGGTATGATTATATTTATATAGAACAAAACTTCTTTATCATCAAGGATCGAGTACAGAAACCTCTCGAGTCCATCTTAGAGTACCGAAGTCGGTTCTACAGACTATTTGTAAGGTCCGAACAAGATGAGAAAGTTGGGAGAGATTTGTTCATCGATGGGTTTAGAAGCCTCGTGATGCGGGCAAAGCTGCGAAAACAGTTCCCCCATTAATCACACCATGCAACAAATTATGGACGAGGTAGACAAAATGAACGAAAATTTGTTGCTAGCTTCCTCAAAGGGGAAGACCACCCTAAAGATAGAGACTCTACCGAAGTAGCTCGGGCGAAAGCAGAATTAGCCACACTCCAGGACAAGTTCGGAAATATAGGCTTTGTATCAGGCCCTGTCACCTACCTGGAGCGGGTGGCGACAAAAGGACCTCTTTCCGATCTAACCATAGGACCATCAGCGACCAAAGTTGTTGCACCCTCCCCAAGTACAGTAGGAAAGACAGACGACTCTAGTGCAATGTTAGAATTTACTATAACCTTGGTGAACCTGGTGCAAGAAAGCAACAAGGACAGAGGGAGTACAATGCCTGGATGAAAACGTTGATGCGATCGATGCGCCCTATCACTGTCTGAACTCCGGCGTTTCTTGTCGGAGGCCAGCCTGTACAAGCAGCAAGGGGACCCGATGCAGCACCCGTGGCTAGAACAGACGAATGTTATACATGTCATCAACCGGGGCATATAGCGCGGGATTGTCTCCATCGAGCTCCACAAGCTCGGGTAGGAGCCGCCCCCACGGCAACTGCACCTATAGCAAATGGACCTGGATGAGTCGGAACGATGGTGGAAGAAACGGATGGGTTGATGGCCAACACAATGGTCATGGAGGAGGCAGCAGAGCTCATCCCCCTCGACCAATATCTCACGTTGGGTTATTTGGGTTGAGGTATGATAAGAGCAATTCAACCGGCTGAGGATGAGCGGGATGTCTTGAAATGGAGACCCTTGCCCCGAGAAATAGAATCAGGAGGGTTGGCATTTGTCACTGGAGAAATTGACGTGCTTGATATAGTCAGAGCCCTGGATCATTGCATCCCCTTACCGATTGCACATGTTCTGTCCATATCAAAACAACCCACTGACAGAATGTTGCAACATTGCAAGGCTAATAGGAAACGATTCGCCCTTGCAAAGCTTGTGACCATTAAACTTTAAGAAAAAAGCACCTGACAAAAATCGGAAGCTCGACAAGGCAAGCACCTCTGAACCTACGCGCGTTGGAATGATCTAGAAAGATGACCACTTTCTGCGCATTAAACCCATTCCGTGGAAATCGGTCGAGTGTGATGTAGAAGTGTGGGGAATGTCGTACAATGCCATCCTCGATTTGGGGGCGGTGGTACTGGCAATATTGAGCAAGCTGGAAGAAAGAAATATATGATCCCAATCCCCGAAGGAGATCATCTCAATTCCGCAGACGAGGGAAAGATTAGGGTCGTTGGTCGAATGCCGAATGTCGCTTTCCGAGTCGGAAGAGTGCATGCTCTGGGAGAAGTGATTGTGCTGAATGTGACATGATATGATGTGCTCATCGACCTACCCGCCCTCAACGCACTACAAGCGAATTTAGATTTCGAACAACGTATGGTGGTTCTAAAGAATACAGGAGGGAAGTTGTATAGCGTCCTTATGCATCTTACCTTGCAAAAGATTTCCAGCAAACCCCGCAGTGTTCCCATAAGATTGACAGGAGGGATCCGAATGATCTTTATGGATAAAGAAACAGACGAATATGACCAGACCAATGAAGAAGATGGCGAGTTCCCCACCTCGCCCTGTACTAATTCCGACAACAATTTTGATGAGGAAGAAGTAGTGCGAGAATTGATGAATAGAACCTCGCGATACCCGATTCATAAAAGAACGGCTAAAACGTTCAGAATGTTGAAAACCAACGCTAGCCCAAGAGGGGCTCGGCGCGCGCACACTGTTTTTAGGGGAACTACTGGTGTAACTCTCCTGGATGACAAATTTTTTGGAACCCCCTCTAACATGTATGAGGCGGCCAACCCACTATTACCTCGCTACTTAGACAAGAGATCTTTCTGCGATATTACGGAGGCACCCTCTCAATCGCTCCGCACATCGGGGAAGGAAATACGAACGTTAAGTCGAGGCGCCGAAACACTGATTTTGGAACCCCTGCAAAGTTTGATGCACCCTCTTTCGATATCGAGATTAAAATCATGGAGAAATCAATAAGCCTCCGAGACAAGGAAGACGGGATTGTCGTCGAAGAACATGTGGTAATCACCGAAGCGAACGCCCAGATGATCGTCAGTGTGTTTTCCTAATGATTCGATCACTCGTTTATCTCATCTCCCCCAAACCTAGACTCCCAGACGGACTAAGATGAAGTAGTTAGAAGTCAGAATCAATGGGAAGCCCTACAATCTGCATGTACCTGAATACGTGCCAAGCAATATCCAGTGTATATGTACCACGAAGTGATTAGCGTCACGGATACGGATACTGGTCCGTCTCGGGTAATCCAACATGAAATTCAGACAGGGGATCATCCACCCATTCACTGCAAACCATACCGATACTCTCTCACCGAAAGAAAAACGACGTTGGAAAGAATCCAAGAGTTTAAGGAGAATGGTTGGATTGTACCCGCCACAATACCTTGGTCTTTTCCTGTGGTTTTAGTGCCCAAGAAGAACGGGTTAACACGCATTTGCATTGATTATCGGAAATTGAATGACATCACAATTAAAGATGTGTACCCCCTACCCCAAATTGATGATCTGCTGGATGCGATTGAATGTGTCAAATATTTCAGTAAATTGGATATTTGTCCTGGTTTTCATCATATCCAGGTTAAAGAGGAAGACATACCAAAAATGACATTTGTTTTGTTTGAAGGGGCGTGGCAGTGGATCCGTTGTCCTATCGGGATATGCAATGCGCCTTCGACTTTCCAGAGAGCGATAAAGGTTATCTTTGAGAATTGTGTCAACAAGACGCGACTAACGCTGGGCATGATCAACTTTTGTGTTATCGTGTATATAGATGATATCCTGGTCTCATTTCACTGGCACGCTCGGCACGTGGAATGGATGCTAGGGGTACAGAGGGACGCGGGTTTCAAGATCGCCCTCGAAAAAAACGAGTTTTTCCTTTCCGAAATCTCGTTCTTGGGTTATATCGTGACTCGTGGAGGACAGAGGTGAAATCCGCGAAAAATCGAGGCAGTTCAAGAAGCGCCCACGCCGACGTCACTAACGCAGGTCCAGGCCTTTTGGGGACTAGCCTCGTACTATTGACGATTCATCTGGAACTTCACCGCAATCGCACGGCCCCTGACGAATCTTATGCGGAAGGACCAACCTCTACATTGGGACATGGACTGCAAGGAGGCTTGTTCTACACTGAAGAATGCCCTGGCCTCGACACCTATTATAATCCGGTCGGACCCAGAGAGACCTTACTCATCACTGATTAGCAGTCGGAGGCCATCTCCGCTATTTTCACATAGAAGGGGAAGGACGGAAAGGAACACGTCGGTCTGGGGAATTCAGCATTTCCGCCCATATTTGTACGGGCAGAAGTTTTTACTGTTACCGATCACGAACTGTTGTTTGCCCTCAAGAAGCTTACTAATTATATGGGTATGATCGGGGGCTGGGCAGTCAGACTTCAAGAATAGGATTGCGACATTGTCCACAGGAAGTCCGAGCAATACGGAAACTCCGACTGATTAACGACATTGCATCGTCCAGGCAAGGTGCCTAAGTGCGAAGAGATTGTTCCGTGGAAAGATCCGAAGTCCCCCAAGGGTCCCGCTTACAGAGAAGTGAAAGTTTTTTTTCCGACTATCGAAGAAATGACACGTGGACTCATTACGATGCAGGGAGAAGGTAATGATGAGGCTCCCCTTTCTCCTACATCCTCTTCTTTTCTCTCTCTGCCTGATAAATTTTGCTATTTTTGTGAAGCGATCTCGCGGGTTTACTTTGTCCCTATGCACCCACATGGAGAGGGGTACGTCGACTGGATAGATTGTGAGCGGTGTGTGTCTAGAACCCACGGGTCCTGCATTCAATATAGGAAAACACAAAAGACATGGTTGTGTCCCGTGTGTCGAATGAGTCTCAATTCCTCGAAGCCACCTCGGAAGGACTGAAAAAGACGCATAGATTTTGGCGTGCCGAAGTCGGGACAAATGTCGTGTTGATAGCGACGATTGTAGGGAAACCCCTCTGATAATACTCAAAGGAGGATCGTAGACGGGCTAACGAACGAGCAAGGGACTACCGATGGAACGAGTGAAGGTTAGAAAAATGGAAGACAGATGGTAGCGGCCTTTAGATGGTCGTACCCAACCCCTTTATGCAATATGATTGGGTGAAGACGGCCCACGAAGAGACAACTGCCCATTTTGTTGTCCGAATTACGGAGTTGACTATCAACAAAAATAAGTGGTATTGGTCCAATATGAGGGATGATATCAAGCTCATAGTTAAAAACTACCCGGTCTGCTCGCCCGACAAGGCGTCGATTTAGCTGCCTAGGTCCATTGTTCCAATCGTACTCGAACGATCGTTCCAGAGGGACATTGTGGCTCCCCCTGGTCCTAATAGCTGCAAGAAGTCAGTCCTACTGATGTTTGTAGATCATTTGTCCAAATGGAGTGAGGCCTACCCTTTTAAAACGAGACAGACGACGAAAATTGTGTGGCACGTCAACCGTTTCCTTGGGATGATGCATCAGGATACCAAAGAAATCCTGACGAATAATGGAGCAGAATTACGAAGAGAAGTTTTGAGAAGCGCGGTCTTACATGGTGTCTCCATCCGAAACACTGCTCCTCATATGTCCCAATCGAACGGGCTAGTGGAAAACGCAAATCGAGTGATCAAGATGACCCTACGGCAGAATCTCGCGGCTAGGGACACGAGACCTTGGCCTGATATCGTAGATCACATCCTGGCCATCCATCGAGGAACACCTCACGAGTCCAAGGGTTTGTCCCCATTCCAACTACAGACCAATAGCCTAGCCTGCGTAGCTTTGTCGAGCCTGGACGACAAAACGACGTTGGGTCGACGACCTACAAGGGTGACGACTAAGGAAAAGGTCAAGTGCCACTTAGAGCTGATGGAACGGACCCTCCCCCGGCTGACCCGAAAACGATAGCGAATGACTGAAATGGCCTAGGGCCGACAAGTCCGGAGCTACGAGGCCCGAAATGGGATTGTCGAGCCTCGACCCCAGTATAAATTAGTGGATATCGTGCAGGTAAGGAAATGTGCTCGTCAGGGTAAGCAAGTGCTACGATTTTTTGGCCGATTCCACATAGTGGAGCTCGGACCAAACGGTGTGAACACGGTGCGCCTTGCCCCGGAAGCCTCAGTCAGCCGATCATCTCGTCCCATCATCCGCCACGTATCCTATCTTTGTCTTTTGTCTGCCTCCCCTCCTCCCTCGCCTCATAGCTCCTCCCCGACCTCTAAGTGGGATAGTAAGGAACCTGGATCCCTCTCTTCCCCCTCTCTCCACACCTCATCCTCTTCGTCTCCACCATCACCATGAGCTTTATGGCGGACCACCTCATCAGTCGATGAATGTTGATGCCACGGGCCTTCAACTCCTCTATACGGTAGGTGCATCATCCTCGGCGCAGCCCGGATCTGCCTCGATTCTCACAATTCTTCAGTTCGGCGGGTATATACGTGGCGGCCGAGTTCAGGTTCGTCCACCTCGGGACTTCGGGAAGGGTGTTGGTTGAAGGATCGACATTCTTGCGACTCTCTCCTCCGGGGGTTAGCCACATCTCCGTGCTAATCTCCTTCAGCGGGGACTTTTCGGCGTTGCACGAGAGCGTCCACACGAGCTATTTTCTTCAATTGCGGGGTTGGGCAGAGGAGTTGACGACCACGTTGTGGCACATGCTCGCTCGATCAGGGGATCGGGTTGACAACACCGATTGCATTCACACCCACCTGATTCGGGTGCGGAGGTAATCCTTCCAGAGGTGGTCCTTTTCGAGTTAGCCCAATGAACCTGCACCGACTATCCACGTTTACGTTGCCGTCATACTTTCCTACTTTGTGGCAATCTCCCACCTGCCGCATCTATCGTACGAAGTCCGAGCGATCCCGGTGCCCGACTATGAAGAAGATAGGTGGTCTGAGTGGTTGGAGACTTTCATAGCGCTCAGTTTCTGCCTGCTCAACGTCGAGTTCACGTGGTCTGAGCCGGCCGATCCGGACGATCTGGACAGGGATATCGAGTGGCTGATCATCCAAGCGTGGAGATCGGACGTGGAGGGAGAACTGTTAGGGATCTTGTTTGGAGAGGTGAGCGTTGATCACTTCGGGCCGATCATGGAGGAACTGTTGGTGCCTCTCGCGCAGCTCCTCGACGATCTGCCCCTTGACATTCTTTATCAGAAACACAAGAGCCCGGAGCAAGGTACGCTAGAGCGGACACCAAAGCCTCAATTGTTCTCGACATGCCTTGCTAAGTACGACGACCAGAGTCGATCCTATCCGTCATCGGTCCCCTACCTGGATATGGAGGAGATCGTCGATCAGTTCTTTTGGGAAGTGATCGCGTCGCAGAACAAGGAGGAAGGGAGACCGGAATCGGGGTCCAGCGAGCACTCAGAGGAAGGATAGGAGGCATTGAACGAGGAAGTGGAAAGAAGGACGAAGGAGTGTGCCTAGGGGAAGCAGCCCCTTCTCACGCAATGACCGACGATCCTACACGGGATCCCGACCCGCCGACAGAGGAAGAAGGACACGATGGCCGCACCGTAGGGGCAAAATGTAGCAGGAGAAGAGCCGGAAGCCCCTCACCCACTCCCTACGCCCACACATCCATTCGATTACGTAAAAATGCGGGCGATCGGGCATTGTCCCCGGTCGTTCTCTCATTGTCCCCTTGACTATCTTTCCTTCCGCCAGATCCTAAAGAGCCCACCCTTTCCAGACACCTGGCACCGTTCCCTCCCTCTTTGTTACACTAGTTTTATGCCACCTGTCTTGTGTGCAAAGTTTTTCCACTCTCGACTACGAAGTCCTTCGTTTCTCTCTTTCGTCTTCACATCCTCCTCTTTAGCATAGAATGGTGGGACCTCAACAATATTGAAGTCTACTGCTTGATTATAGGGACAATTCCCACTTGTAATCAGTACGAGCAGTTTCGCGCCGCCCTCTTGCGCACCCTATGTACCCTCTATCCTGATTATGTCGCTTCCCTTCCGCATCGCAATTGTCGATTCCTACGTGTCCATCGTTTAGTGAGATACGCAACTATCCCTACTGGAGTGCGCTCACTGGCTCTTTTCATCCCACCACTTCCTCAATCTCACTTTCCACCCCCGCCCCTTGTATTGAGAGTACCTGCGCAGCCGAAGGGGCAATGACAACAACGAGTGTAGCGGTAAGGGCGGACTCAGGATGGTGACGAGGGTTGGGCACCCCTGGCGGACCTCGTTCGGTCGTCTTCTTCCTCTTTCCATTCCTTCTCCTCTCCATCTCTTTCCTCTTCTCTCTCGTATGCAGGGACATGGGGGATGCAAGCAGGAGCTTGCATAAGATTGAAACCCCCTAGGCGTCACATATGTGACGAACTACTTTCTCAAACGCGCGACTTCCTACGCGACTGTATTTTGGGGGTTGAATGGGAGGGGCTTACCCAATTGCACAAATCCTCCCATCTTTGTGAGAAAGATTGGTCCCATGGCGGTTGGTAGTTAGAGCGCGCCTTAGCGAGCACAAAAATAATTGTTGTCGTAGGTTCTTTCTTATTCTGCTGAAAGTGGGGCAGGGAACTTTGGCGCGATCATCGTGCGGGAAACGTCTTTTTGAATTTTGAAATACGGGGAAATACGGGAATTAGGACTTTAATTGGGCTAAGAATTGGGGACATCGTAATTTTGTCATGAAGTTTTGTTGTTGTAACTGCACGATGATCCTTACTCGCGCGCGCTTTGCTACGTCCTATCCTGCGCTCTTCTCCCGTTGCGCCTTAATTCTAATCGCAATTGTAATCTCTTCTTGCTCTGTCTTGGTGAGTGCGGGTGTAACTGTAATTTTATCCCCCTTGATTTATTTTCGCGTTGAAACCTGCATCTCTTTTCTGTCTATCTCATTGGTCGAGAAGATGCATGACTAGATCAATAAGTGGAGAGTGGTTACATCCCCTACGCCATGGCCCAGTCATGGAGTTGTAGGCACTTCCTTCTTCTATCTTCCTTCTGCTTCAGCGTAATCTGGAATTACCTCGCACGAATACTGAGTGCTATAAATTATGCAAGCGCGACTTATTTCCTCTCTAATCTACACTTGGGAGTTAGCGTGCTCGAGAGGATGGGCTAACGAGCATAGATAAGACGGTGAGTAGGGAGTTGGGCGATTCGACGGGCCGGTGCTGGGTATGGAGGGTTGAATGTATGGCCACGAAGGACTGTGGCTCTCGGGCCAACCCGACTTTCATGCTCGAACTAAGCGGGGTGACAAGTTCGGGTTGTTGGTAGGTGCGAGGTGACGGACTGCCCGCATCAAAAAAACGTTCAGAGAGAGAGAGAGAGAGAGAGAGAGAGAGAGAGGGTGTGTTGAAGTGGTGTTGTCTCTTCACATCCTCTGCATAATTTTGATTTTGGTTTTGGGTACCTTCGTTTGCAGAAATGTCATATTTTCTTTTCTTCGATTGATGTGTGAATTGTCTCTTTCTCCCCCGTCTCTTTCTTTTTTATCAGGATATATGACGGTTGCAAGAATCGATTGATTGTTTGATTGCCTTGAAAGTATGGACCTTGTTGATTGTTGAGTTAGGGGATTATGGTATGTATGGTTTGGGCGTCCTGCTGATGTATGAGAAATTCCTTCTTCTCGTCTCGTTTTTCGCACCCATATTTTGTGCATGTCACGTTGATCGGCTGCCTATTTTTGCATTAAGTCCGTAGACGTCGTCTTCCTGTATGGACCGGAAATAGAATAGATGCTTCTATAACAAGTAGTCTTACTGCCCGATCAGAGACAGATCCTGTGCATGCACGTATACGAATAACGACAAAAAGATAGTCATCACGTACATGTGTGTTTGCATGATTCGTCTCCAACCCGATCACACCTTGCACGCACTAATGTATAAATTGAATATTTCTCATGAGATATGGACATCGACATTCCATTTTGGATCATGGACTGCGACTGCCTGAGGGATCGCAAGTACCGAAGGTACTGGGAAAACGAGCACGTCTCCTGTCGATCGAAATTAAGACTTCCAACATTTCCTTGCCAAACTGAAAACGATCGGTTGCATGCATGGGACTCCAGCGGGCCATAGGACAAAATCCCCGAATCCCGCATTGCCTCGACACGCTTAACCACCAGTATTACTTGGGGCCTGGATTCGTCGCCATCGAAACTGATTTTCCTCCCTTTTATCTCCTTCTTCTCTACCACAATCTAACTAGCGTCCCCTAGAATGTGATAGCCTCCTATTGGACACGAAGGCCGTGCTCTGAGTGTGAGCAGTATTACGCCTACCGGGCCGCCAGATTCGTCCGACGAACCCATTCTGAAGCTGAGCACAGAGAACAAAGTCTCCGACTGAGACCGTCCACATCAGATTTTGAAGCCTGCGAAAGCCGCAGATGACAGGTGGTGGAACAGAGAGACACCCATTGCGTTCCTTCCGTACACAGAATACGAGTTCGCCCCAAGCGACGAAGTCGACGAAACTAGCCGCCCGGCTCTGAGAATCGCAGATCAGAAAACCTGGTCCTTCGCTGAACCACTTACGCGTCTGTCCATGGAACATGACACCGGAGATCCCAGTTCGACCTGGGACTCCACTTCCACTTTCCTAAAATCCTTGGCACACCCTCTTTTCCACACTTCCGGGCCCACAATCACTCCGAAACAGGAAGTCGCGCTGGGCATGAGGTTGGGCGTCACACCAGTCCCTCTCGCCAACCTCTGCCCCCCACCCGCCCGTTTAGGTTTCATTCCCCAGCCACCACCCCCTCTTCCTGACCCCCTGGCTCTCACCCTCGCGTGTTCCAGGGCCCCCCTCTCCCTGGTCCGTCTCACCTCCCTCTGCCCCTCCTCCCCACGACTGTTGTGTGCGCTCGCATCCCGGCACGATTAGGGTTTCGCTACACCACCCAGCCACCACCGGTATATTGAATGTGTTTGGAAGGGTGTGCTGTCCAGATGCGTTCAAAATGTTGGCCCTTGGCAAGTGGCACGGCGGGCCCCTTAGCCTCCAGAGAACCGTGTGTCGAGTTCCGCGGCAATGGGGAACACAAGGTGTGCTGTGCGGCGGCGCTTGCAAGCGAGACAGCGGGCCTTGCTTCACTACTCTCGACGTGCAAAACGAGAGTGTATTTTCCATTAGAACATGCAAAGATACACCGCAGCCTCGCAGCTGGCCTCACACGCTACTTCTATCGATAGGATGAGCAATATCGAATGAATCTTCCGCTAGAACATGAAAATATACACTGCCACACTTGTAGATTCAGTCCACAAACCCGCGCCCGACAAAGACCCCGTTCATAAAACTTACTGACTGGCCAAAAAAAAAAAAGCGCCCGACAAAGACCCCGTTCATAAAACTTACTGACTGGCCAAAAAAAAAAAAAAACATACGTACCGTCGATCTCAGTGGAGAAGGAATGGTCAGATAATGAAAAACTTTCCTAGACTGGAAAGCCTGCTACCACCTCCAGCTGCCCGCACTCCACCGGAAGACCACACCATTATCTCCCCCGACCGCCGCCTCGTTCCTGAAACTACCGGTCGGTGCCCGGTTGGCGACCGCAACCTTATTAAATGCACAACAACGCCCTCTATACCCACTTACACGGTCAACGACATCCCCCATATGGAAACCGGTCGCTAAATGACAAAAGACATCCATCTAAACGACAAAAGACGTCCATCTAAACGAGAAAAGACATCCATCTATACGCAGCCATCCTGGCCGCGAATTCACCATTTTTCAATGCTTTGGCACAACATTGGCCAAATTGTGACCGAAGTATATTTTCAAACTGAAACCGTGACTGCGCCCTAGTTGTCCCAAGAAAGGGGTAACAAGGGCGCAGTCACCATTTCAGTTTAAAATTCCAAAAACAACTGTGAAAGGTTAGGAGGGGAGTCTCAGGACTGCTGGTTATGCAAGGGTGTCTGCACACACACCAACCCATACCTCTCCCTAACCCATGGGGTAGGTTAGCACCACACAGTGTTTGTGCAAGAATGAAGCTGTACCAGCCTCTCATCAAGGTGATGGGGGATATTGGCAGGCATCCGCCTGGCGGGGACCACCAGCATCGTGGCCACTCACTGCACCTCCCCTTCTCCTCCATAGTGCCCACCCACTGCACCTCCCCCTCCCCATCTCGTCCAACCGGGCCTACAATAGCCAATCTAGTTGTTGCACAGCACCCTTTCCTTGAATATAAAGCTACAACTTCTCAAACAAACAAAAAAAAAAAACATAAATAAATAAATAAATAAAAATAAAAACAAAACCGAAAAATAAAAAAATAAAAAAACTGGCCAAGGTCGTGCTAATGCTGGCCTGGGGTTGAGCACGTGAATCTAGACGACTGCGTGGAAAGATGCAAACAATCGAGATTCAACTGCTTTTCTGCATCTCTTCTCAAAACTCGTGCAGATGCAGGAGCTTAATCCAATCCTCTCTGCTAGTGGGACCTCGCCCCCGCATGGGGGGGCACATACGTGACGACAGTGGGACAGTGGGAATTGGACCCGCGACCTCCTCAATGCAACTCCTGTGCCTTACCGACGACTGATCGAGGCCGAATGTCATCACGAAGCAAGGGGCTTCGCTCCACTTCTCAACATTTTACATGTATACGGACTATTTCCTGACCAGATACATTCGGACTGATTAAACATTTTGAATGCACCTGGTCCACCAGTTGGTCAGGATACGTTAGACTGTTGTGAAGTCGAGCGAGGCCCACAGACAGTAAACGTCCTTTGTTCTGTTGCACTTCGGAGACGCAGCTTATCGGTGGCCAAAGGTGATACCTTGGACTACTGTACGGAGAGGTGTGAAGTCTTTTCGTTTTTTTTTCGTTCTAACAAAACAGAAAACAGGCAATTTGTTATTTTCCTCTTTTTGCCCTTTTTGACGACCCAAGGAGTTTGCCCCTTGGGTCGTGTTCACACCTCTCTTCTCGCAACGTTCATCGGCGTCCTCCTGAACTTCTCTCACCCCTGTCTTGCGATTGGGAGCGACTGATTGATGGGGGATTGTTTGGTGGGCGATTGATCGATGGATTAGATCGGTCGGTTGGTTGATTGGTTGGTTGATCGATTGATCGGTCAATCTATCACCGATTGCTTGGCGTGGTGCGGGAGCTTGCCCTAGGGCAGGAGGAATTGGCATTTTGGGCGAGCAGTTATGGCGGCGGGGGATACGGGAAGGGCTCGCGGGCGAGTGGTCATTGGCGGGAGGGGTCGTGCTCTTTCGGCGGCGGACGTGTACAACGTGGCAGTGCTGAGGTACCGTGTTGTTCTGGACCGAGCTGCGCTTGACACGTTGGAAAAGGAGGTCAAGGCAGCGCCAGCTGGCAAAGAGGATGGCACAGGTGTGGCCGGGGCCGACAGCCAAGAAGGAGATCCTAGGGCTCTGCACGTGGCGGCGATTGCGGAGATCAGGAAGTCTGTGGGCGGCGGTACTCGCCCCGACGACCGCTGGGCAGAGGAGGAGACACGTGCTGCTGCCGTCGGCAAGTTGATCGAGATGATGCGATCCAGGGCCGGGATCGGGACCCGGCTCGTGCGTCTTCTTGAGCACTTTCTCAATCAGGATGATTGGCAGGAGGAGCCGGCGCGGGGTGCAGGCGGCGATGGAGCCGTGTGCGCATCTCTCGCGTCTCCGCCTTGTCTTTCTGCGAAAGAGAGGGCGGCACTGAGCGCCGGGATCAGCGCCGCGATCGGGATCGCCGCGATTGCGATCCACGCAGCTCAGACTCTGTCCCTCGTGGCTGATGGGGTGATGTCTCTCTCTTGCGAGGCCCTCCGCGCACACGTGGAGTCGTTTGACGCCGAGCACGTGCACAAGTGCGAGGCTGACGTGGCATCCGATCTGCGCACTCTTCTCCTCGGATCGAAGAACGTTAATCCCCGCCAGGGAGGTGTCGATGTGGGATGCGTACGGGCGGTGCCGCAGCTGCACGGCCCGCTGAGAGAAACGATCAAACTGGCCGGAAGCGCAGTGCGCGCCGAGCTCAACGCCGTGGGGGGGTCACCAGCTGTCGGCGTCGGCGGTGGAAGCGACAAACGAGCGGGAAACGCAACCATGACGGAGCCGTCCGCCACGGTCTTTCTCTACCTGGGCAACGTTGTGCGGTGCCTGAGCGGAGCCGCGACCGCATCTGGATCCCGATGCGCGGAACTCTGCAGCATATCCTCCTCCTCTCTCGTTTCCTCTTCTCCCCTCCCTACACAAGGACGCGATCGCCACATTGGGATCCAGATGGACGCGATCGCCAATGTGGATGGTGGTGATGATGACAGTGGGAGGAGTGGCAGTAATTCTGAGAATGGGGGCGAGGGTGGGGCTGGCACGGTCAGTCCGCAGCTGACCTGTATCTGTATGGCAGATGCCAGAGATAGCGCGGTCGCTCGCGCGAAAGTTGTGGCCAAAGGGGTGATGGAGCTTTTGGCGGGAGGAGGAGGTGGCGCCGAGTCGTCGGGGGTCGGGGGTGCGGACGGGATCCGGGCCGCACTGTTGGCTTTCCGATCGGTGCGCGACTGCCGTGAGGTGTTCGCCGTGGAAGCCTGGATGGCCGCAGCGGTTGTGAGAGAGAGGGAGGCGGCTATGGCGGCGGCGCCGAAGAAAGAGAAAAAACTTGCTGGCGATGGCGGCGGAGAGAAGAAAGCGGGTGCGCGGTCGGGAGGGGGAGGAGGAGGAGGAGGAGGAGGAGAACAACCGGTGAAGGCCAAGAAAGGCGGTGGTGGTGGTGGTCCCGGCGCTTCGCTCGGGAAGGGAAGCGCTTTGGTGCGGTCTTATGTGGACACGTGTCGGCTTGAGACATCACCGGCGGCCGATGAGGGTGAATCCAAGACGACGTCGATGACGTCATCATTATCGTCGTCGATTGCTGCGGAAATCTCGTCTACGAGCGCCGGCTTGGATCCGCGTGTGGCGGCGGAACGACTTGGCGCGCTTCTGGACGCCTTGCGAGCGGTCGTTGAGAGCAACGAAGCGCGCCGCAAGCCGAAGATCCCCAAGGGCACGCGCGATTTCACCCCTGGGCAGATGGCAGTCCGGGAGAAAGCCTTCGGCACGATCGTGGGGGTGTTCAAGCGCCACGGCGCTGTGGCCATCGACACGCCGGTGTTCGAGTTGAGGGAGACGTTGATGGGAAAGTACGGGGAAGATTCCAAGTTGATCTACGATCTCGCCGATCAGGGAGGCGAAATCCTGTCCCTTCGTTACGATCTCACGGTCCCTTTCGCTCGATATCTGGCCACGCACAACGAGGGCAATTTGAAAAGGTATCATATTGCTAGGGTTTACAGGAGGGACAATCCTGCAAAAGGCCGGTACAGGGAGTTCTATCAGTGTGATTTTGACATAGCAGGTCAATACCCGACGATGGTTCCCGACTCTGAGGTGTTGAAAGTACTGACAGAGATCCTAGATGATCTGAACATCGGTGATTACGAGATCAAGCTGAATCACAGGGTGCTGTTGGATGCGACGTTGGAGATAGCCGGGGTCCCGACGGCGAAGTTCCGTACGATCTGCTCCGCTATCGACAAGCTGGACAAAGAGACGCCCGAGAAAGTCAAAGCGGAGATGGTCGAAGAGAAAGGATTATCGGAGGAAGTTGCAGAGAAAGTTCTGGGGATGGTTCTGCGAAAGGGAAGACCCCTGGAGCTGTTGGAACAGCTCAGGAGGCCTAGTAGCGCTGAAGATAGCTCCTCCTCCTCGTTCATGAAGCATCCGAAGGCGGCGGCGGCACTAGACGACTTGTCGCTCTTGTTCTCTTACTTGGATGCTATGAAGGCGATTCACAGAGTGGTGTTCGACTTGAGCCTGGCCAGAGGACTCGATTACTACACGGGGGTCATCTACGAGGCGGTATTTAAGGGGACTACGCAAGTGGGTTCGATCGCGGCGGGAGGAAGATACGACAACCTGGTCGGGATGTTCAGCGGCAAGCAAGTCCCGGCCGTCGGTGTAAGTCTGGGGATCGAACGGGTGTTGGCCATCATGATGGAGGATTGTGAGTCGTCGGTGAGGAAGACCCAGACCGAGGTCTTGGTAGCTAGCATTGGACCTAACCTGTTGAAAACGAGGATGGCCATTGCGTCGGAACTATGGACGGCCAAGATCAAGGCGGAATTCGTCTTCTCTCCCGCTCCCAATCTCCAGAAACAACTGACTTATGCACAGGAAGCAGGTATTCCATGGATGGTTATCTTTGGGGGGGATGAGATAGGGAAGGGGGTAGTTCAGATCAGAGACCTTTTGACGAGGAAGCAAGATGAGGTAGCTAAGGACGATCTCGTGGAGGAGCTTAAGACGCGTCTGAACGCTGGTCGGGATCCCAAGGAACCGCCCGTCGTCGTCCAGTAGAAGAGAACCAGGTTCAAAGAATCAGGGTTTCTATTTAGTCGGCAGGAGGTCCCATCAAGTCCGACAGGGTCTAATGAGATGAGATATGAAATGCAGTTGGGGTTGGGGTTTTGAGTAGAGAGGTGGTCTAATTAGGTCTAATTAGGTCCAATTAAGTCCGACCGATCAGATCAGTCGCGATTGGGCGATCTGTCAATCGATCGGAGATTGAACATTGAGTTGGAATCATCGGCATTCGAATCGGCGTTAAATGGAGAACTGGCAGTGGATTGAAAGGCAGTGGAGTTGGAACTGACAGTGGATTGAAAGGCAGACAGGGATGGGGGGGGGGGGGTAGTTGAAGAATCTCTCTTTCTTTGTGTTCCCTCGAGAAAACAGTTTCGTGTTCGCTTAGGGGCTACATTCGAAATTCAAAATTTTGCAGTTCGAAATCCTGGTCCTGCCTTCAGGAACCGTGTTTGTGTGGTTGCGTGCGTGTAGGAAGGGAGTGGGAGGTGAAGGGGGGCGCGATGTAGGTCTCAATGAGACTGTTTGTGTGTTTGTGTTTGTGTTTGTGTTTGCGTCTGTGTGTGTGCTCTGTGTGTGTGTGTGTGTGTGTGTGTGTGTGTGTGTGTGTGTGTGTGTGTGTGTGTGTGTGTTGTAGACCGTCATCATGACAACCCCTTGTCCACCCAGACGAGTAGATCATCAAAATTGAAACAGCCTTACCTTATAATCTTCTGTCAAGCGATATGTGAAATGATTGTAGTGTTCATCTGTGTGTGTGTGTGTGTGTGTGTGTGTGTGTGTGTGTGTGTGTGTGTGTGACACACACACAGATGGAGAGAGAGAGAGAGAGAGAGAGAGAGAGAGAGAGAGAGAGAGAGAGAGAGAGAGAGAGAGAGAGAGAATGCATAGGTGGGTGTGTTGTGATGTTCGCTGAACTCCCCAACAAAAGTACGAGTGTGCCACACTGTCACAACCATAAAACTCTCTACACACCCACTCAGTGTGTGTGTGTGTGTGTGTGTGTGTGTGTGTGTGTGTGTGTGTGTGTGTGTGTCAAAAGTATGGGTGCGCCAGACTTTCACAACCATAAAACTCACTCTACACACCCAGTCAGTCTGTGTGTGTGTGTGTGTGAGAGAGAGAGAGAGAGAGGCGTTCGTCGATGACGGACCGATTCGATTTTCGGTGAGGCAGATTACGAGTCAAAGCATCAGTACGGAGCGCTCCGCAAACTGCTGAGGGTTGAGCCTCCTGGTGAGGGTGCGAAGCTGTGATGAAACAGTATGTCACAACCGCATAGAGGTTTTTGTCCTTTTTACCCCCATCAAGTGTCCCTCAGGCAGTTCTCTGTGGCAACCTGACTTCCTTGCAGCTGCATCCACTGTAGCTTGATGCTGATCATCCCTGCGTACCCTCTTCCCCCAAACACAACGCACCCTCATTTTGGCTGCACATGAACCGGAAAGAGATAGCTTGTGTACATTCGTTATCAGTGTGCTCTGTGTTCAGCGGAAGACGGTAGAGGCGAATGACACTCGTTATGCTCTGTTGATTGGAACTTCCGTATGGAGGTCCTGCTGCACGTTGCGCTGAGGCAAGTCGAGCGTGAGTTGGAGCGTGAGTTGTTGCATGATGGTTCTTCAAGTCAGAATCTTGAGCAGAGAGACGGTAGAGGCGAATGACACTAGTTATGCTCTGTTGATTGGGACTTCCGTATGGAGATCCTGCTGCACGTTGCATTGCGCTGAGGCAATTCGAGCGTGAATTGTTGCATGATGGTTCTTCAAATCAGAACCTTGAGCATAGACCTCATTTCTCAGCAGGCACCGCACTCATGGACTTGGTGAAGACATGACCGTCTTTCATGCCGTTCACAAGATCTATAGGAGATGTGTGTAGACAATCTGTAGGAGATACAGCAACGAGAATTATGGAGTGAACTACCGTGTCGCCCCCCAAATAGAACATACGATCAATATGGCCGCATCTAGACTGAAAGTTGCCCGAAATACAGATATAATGACAGTGGGGTCTTGAGTTGGAGGACAGTAGAACCCCTCTGGCAAGTGGGAACTTTGATGATCTCCTACAGATCTCAGATAGATCTCCTATTGATCTTCTACAGATCTATAGATCTCCTATCGATCCTCTCAGATCTCTTGTAGATCTTCTCAGATCTCCTACAGATTCTTCTCAGATCTCCTATAGATCCTCTCAGATCTCATATAGATCCCCTAGATTTCCTACGTATCAGATGTCCTACCTGTGAAGGCTCTGTCTGTCCGCCTGCTCTTCTACATTGCGAATCATCCATCTTCTCAACGCTCTGCTGCTACCGTCTTCCCCTGAACATAATGCACCCTTAAAATGAATGTATACAAGTTATATTTCCGGCCAGATACAGCCAAAATGAGGGTGCGTTGTGTTCGGGGGAAGACGGTAGCTTCTCACAATTCTTCTAGGCTTGCACTCTTTGTCAATCACTGTGATTCTGAATGTACAGACACACACACACACACACACACACACACAGAGAGAGAGAGAGAGAGAGAGAGAGAGAGAGAGAGAGAGAGAGAGAGAGAGAGAGAGAGAGAGAGAGAGAGAGAGAGAGAGTTGGATCGGCTGGTATTTTAATTAACACTTCCGTTCTTCTGCGTTACAAGACACCAGTCAATGGGCCTCACTCTGCTACACAACACTCTACACGCATTTGGACACTTCCTGGACCCAATACATTCGAACCTTGGACTTGTCCAAATGGACCTGGTCGACAAAGCATCCAAATGCATTGGGAGTGTTGTGCAGTGGAGCGAGGCCCAGTGTCGATATAATTTGATTTATATATAGATCTGCCACTTCTTCCCTATTCAGAACCATACTGCTGAAGGGACTGTCATATGCCTGGTGACAACCTTCTTCCCCCAAACACAAGGTACGGTCATTTCAGTCTAAATACACAGCTATAATGAACGTACGTTGTATTGGGGGAAAGAATGTAGCCTCTACAACAACCTGGAATTTAATGAAAAAAAGAAAAAAAAAAAGAAAGCGAAAAGTGAAGGCCCATGTAAGATCCAGCCATAAAAAAAGAAGAAAAACAAGGGGAAAAAAATAGAGAAGGCCCAAATAAAATTGGGAAAAAAGAACAAAAAGTGAAGGCCCAACTCCACCAGGTGCAAGGTCCCACTTCCACAGATCAAACACACCAGTACGTTTCCCAGCTCTGTTTTCAAATTTGCGGCTTGCATGCTGCTTCAACTTTCGGGGCTTTGGCCGCCAGTGCAAAATGGCTGGCAGCACCAGCCGAAATGAGTCCTGCGCCGGTTTGGTTTCGTTGTGGCGCGCAGACATTTCCATTTCCAGCCCCGAAGAGAAAGTGCCTCGGAAGCACCGGTGGTTTCAGAGTTGTTGGCCGTTGATCTTCGTTATCTATGGCCACTATCTCTTATTCCATGCAGGTGATGGACCTAGCCCCTTCTGTCCTTTCTTTATTTCTCCTTTTTTTTTTTTTTTTTTTTTTTTGCGGGGGGGGGGGGCGCCTTTGCCCAAAGGGTAAGTAAAGAACATACATCCGCAATCGCAAGCATGCTCATTACATCCGCAATCGCAAGTATGCACATGATTCATGCCACACGAGCACGCACAAATCTTCGTCGATCAACAATGAACATATATGAGGTAAGTACATCCAAGAGGCAACAGAAGGAGGACTTCTTCTCCTCCCCTCTCATCTCCACACATAACTAAACCATCATTCCTTCCCAAAAAAAAAAAAAAAAAAACATCATTCCACTTCCCTACTCGAGGAAAATCCCGGAGCCATGTCATTGTTATGAAGTGGGTAAGATTTGACTTTCCGGACAGGTCTGACTGTCTCACAACATGAATTCTTTATGTCTCTTCTTTTAACCTGAAAAACAAAAACATCATACAGATTTGACTTTCTGGACAGGTTGAAAAAAAAAAAAACCATCATATAGATTTGACTTTCCGGACAGGTTCTGACTGTTTCACAACATGAATTCTTTATGTCCCTTTTTTTTCCTGTTGCAAGGAAAATGAGTGATAGCGAACTTCAGAAACCAAGCAGCATCATACACATGAGACCAGATCGTCGTGACCTCGGAACCCAAAGCAGAATTGCAACACAAGCTCCACCAAATAAGAGCACAGCAAAAGCTCATAAGTGACAATGTTGGAATAGTCTCATCATCATCAACAAAGAACCAATGTCGACATCCTATCTGGCGCTCTGCGCCCAGAACTACAAATGGCAGATCCTATCTAGCCTATCTACAATGCCACTGGCGACTTCAACAGCTCCCCGAAGTACGAGCAGATCTCGGCCAATGCCGTTCGCCTCAAGAACCAGGTATGTCTCTCGTATCACTCACAACCTCGATCCCCCACTCACAGATGCCGCATGCACCCAAGGACCACCATGCGCCCCATCCAGCATAGTGCAGTGCAGCTCGGCTATGTGTAGCATATCAGAAAGTGAAATGCACTGAGAGCCTAGGATCTAGCAATGACGAAAGTGGCAACAACCAGCAGCATAGGTGCAACATCCACGAGATGTCAATGTGCACGGTGCAAAGGGYGAMCCAACGAGAAATCAACAACACACATTCGTATCATTATCATCATGGGCTGGGAAGCAGCGCAGCGGAAGATTTAGTATCAAAGGACACGTGGACAACAACATGAAAAGGACAAAACTTCGGAAGGGCAAGACATCAGAAAGATTGCCCTTCCGCTCACACACATGGGGAGAGATCCATAGACATGCGAGAGAGAAGGGGGAGGGACGGAGGTAACCAAGTCCAACCCAAGTCTGATCTCCGAATGTCGCACACAGTTCAATCCCAACGTAGAGTGCAAGTCTGACCTAAATGTCGTGTCCAATAGGGCAGAATGCCGTGTCCAAACAATGTCTGCAGTTACCTCTATCTCTACTCTGAGAAGAAGAAGAAGAAGAAGAAGAAGAAGAAGAAGAAGAACTTCGGAGGAGTAGGAGGAGAAGAGGAGAGGAGAAGAAGAAGAAGAAGAAGAAGAAGAAGAAGAAGAAGAAGAAGAAAGCTAGGCTATGGAAAACTTTAAAAGAAGAGCGAACGAGGCGGGAAACTGGATCGACTGGAAGAGCCAAGGTTTGGTGCTCAGGAGCTGGAATGTCAATGGATTAGGGAACATAATAGAAATAGAAGAAAAGTGGAATGACCTGTGGACAGGACTATCGCTAGGGAACAGGAAGCCAGTAGACATAGTGATGCTTCAAGAAACTCATCTCACTCCATCAACAAACCACGACATAATTCGTGCTTTTGTTGCTAGGAAGCTAGGCGGCCTGAGGGATGAAGTTTGGGCGACCGACCCAGACTCCAGCACCAAGGGTACAGCCATCCTAATTCCCAAAGCGTCCCGCTT